ACGGGACAAAAGTATATAGTTTTGGTTTGGCATTCTGTGACTATCCAGCTGTGTTATTTTCTTTCCTTCTCTTTTATGGGGTAGTTTAAGGTTTAGATTTTCTTTTTACCACAGAATCTAATTTAGTTGTGGCATTTTAAAAATTATTTTTTTGTATATGTGCCCAGAGCTTTTTAGGTTATTGGTAAACTTTAAAAAATACCACAGTGCTTGTAAACATATATAATTTAAGAAGCAGTCATGACTGAAGCCTATGATATCCTTTGGAAAATTCTTACTTGGAAGCAATTATAATTAAGAAGATATTTTCTGGTTTCCTTCTTGCATGCTTTATTAATAATAATGCTATTAGTTGGATAGAATCTTTTTTCCTCCTAGGTTTGGATTTCCCTATTCCTTTTCTTACTTATTATAGAATAATCAATTTTATTGTAGTTACCTTTAATGAAACACATGTTAAGCTTGTGATAACAAACAACTAACATGACAGAGATGAGAATAGTTGCATTCTTGGAAGTCAGAGTTTTGTAGATGTTCTTTTATAATAATAAGCTCAGTGAAAAAGAATTATAGGGAAACCTCATTAAACTGCAACTGATTTATTCAAAAGAATCTTACAATTTAAAGAACATGCTTTTCCTTCAGTTACTAGATATCCTATTTTTTTTTTTTTAAATAAGGATATTGGATAAATTGCTTGGCTATTCAGAACTATTTTGTTTTTCCTGTCATTTGAATTCCAGGTTAGGACTGTTCAATTCTCTTAGGTGGTAAAGAGACTAATGTCTGAATAAAACACAGATAGAATGTACCTCATATTTCTGACTGTGCTTTGGGCCGCAGTGAACAAGAGTAGTTAGGCTGTGAAATTTTGGTATTCAGAAGATATGGTGACCTGATTCTCCATTCTGGATCATGTCAAGGTCTAGTGAAGGAAAGGTTGTTTTGCTTAGGAAAGATGAGATTATAGCTAAATTCTACTATGTAAAATGCACACAATGAATCTCTTAAGTGAATGCACCATAACCATTGGTTGCCTTTTTTCACTTCTGGCATGGGACTTTATTTGAGGAATTTATTTAATTTATCTGGCTTGGGAATTTATGTTAATAAAATAATATTTATTTACCAAATTATTTACCTGATGTCAATTGATGGTTCAAAAATGAATTAAACTTGTAATACTTTTGGAGCTACTTTATGCCATTGCCCTGGAAACAGAACTTCTCAAGTCTCTAAGAAAGTTATACTTGGGGCGTCTGGGTGGCTCAGTTGGTTAAGGATCTGACTTCAGCTCAGGCCATGATCTCACGGTTCATGGGTTTGAGCCCTGCATCGGGCTCTGTGCTGACAGCTCAGAGCCTGGAGGCTGCTTCGGATTCTGTATCTCCCTCTCTCTCTACCTCTCCCCCACTCGCTCTGTGTCTCTCAAAAATAAAGAAACTTAAAAAAGAAATAAAGTTATACTGAGGGGCACCTAGGTGGCTCAGTCAGTTCAGCATCTGATGCTGGATTTCAGCTCAGGTCATGATCCTACAATTCCCGAGTTTGAGCCCCAAGTCAGGCTGTGCACTGACAGTGCAAATCCTGCTTGAGATTCTTCCTCTCTCCAACTCCCCCATTTTTGCTGTCTCTCTCTCTCATTGGTTCTTAAAAAAAAGAAAGTTATACTTGATACAACAAAGCAACATACAGCTCCAGCATCATCATACTCTCTGAAATTCCTTCCTACAATGCCAAAGAATTTCAAAATAAGTTTATTTTGAGGGACTAAAATGAGTGTCTAAAACATGTATGGATATTTATTGAGGTCATTGTGAGAAATAATAAAACACACAGGAACACAACATATTTACAGTGCATATCTGCTTAGTATTTGGTATATATAACCTGGACTCAGTCTTTATTTTTATTTTATTTTTTATTTTTTTTTCAACGTTTTTTATTTATTTTTGGGACAGAGAGAGACAGAGCATGAACGGGGGAGGGGCAGAGAGAGAGGGAGACACAGAATCGGAAACAGGCTCCAGGCTCCGAGCCATCAGCCCAGGGCCTGACCCGGGGCTCGAACTCACGGACCGCGAGTTCGTGACCTGGCTGAAGTCGGACGCTTAACCGACTGCGCCACCCTGGCGCCCCTGGACTCAGTCTTTAGAACATGAGCTTTAGTATCTACCAGGATGGATATGTTTCTCCTATTAAAAAGAATGTTTTCCCCAAATAATACTTCTTTGGAAAGAGACTTTGTTGATTATATGGCTGTTGGATCAGAATGTGAGCCATTTTTGATATACATGCTTTTAAATGCTTCTCTGCCCACTTTATGTGTATTCAAGTTGAGTAAGGAGGTAGCAGTAACAGGTTATCATAAATGCAACCAGGATATCTATTTTCCACAAGTGAGTATTGTTATTATCTTGGATGAGTAGCTGAAGGGAGCTGTGGTACATCTAGCTTCTTCTCTTTGATCCTCTTTCTGCTTGTCATGGTTAACATTTGTTATGAGATGTCTTCTAAACTGAGGAAAGGCTTAATGACCTTTCATGGTTCTTAATTCAGCTCTTTCCATTGCCAAGGAGCAACTTTACTGTGTTGTCTAAACTTTTTAATTTTAAAGTACTGATAGGAACAGTAGGTGAGTGGTAAGCAATTTTAGAAAAAATATGTTGCAAAAAATGAGTAGAGCTATTTCCAAAGTATTTTAGCCAACTCAAGATTTATAAATGCACATTGTGGGTTCTCAGGGAATATTAAACAACATTGCATAATGATATGTGCCTCCATCTGGTTTGGAATGCTAATGGAAGAAACTGATATTTATTGGGTACCTGCTATGAACTAGACACCTTGCAAGGTTCTTATATACACTAGCATATTTGATCCCTTGAGGTGGTATTACTAGCTCTATTTTATTAGTATTTTTTAAATTTTAAAGTGTTTATTTATTTATTTTGAGAGAGAGATCTCACACTTACACACCTACATGTGAAAGTGGGGGAAAGGCAGAGAGAGAGGGAGAAATAGAGGCAGAGAGAGAATCCCAAACAGACTCTGCACTATCAGCACGGAGCCTGACGCAGGGCTCGATCTCATGAACCCAAGAGATCACAGCCTGAGCTGAAATAAAGAGTTGGATGCTCAACCAACTGAGCCACTCAGGCACACCACTAGCTCTATTTTAAAGATGAAGTCACTGAAACTTTTAAAGGTTAAACCAAATTTCCCAAGGTCAGTCAGGTAGTACGTGCAAACTAATCTTTTATGAAAACCCATGCCCTTCTGACTATACCAGTAGTCAATTTTTCTAGAATTCCTGGGTCTTGGCTGCTAATAAAATAGATAATATTTTCCAAATCTATAGTATCATATTTTGCACAAATTCCCATGGGCACAGTTATAAAGCAGCATTCTGCCTAATACAGATATTTGCATACCCGTTACCATCTGCCTGTCTTCTACCCATCAGCTAATCTAGTCCTAGGATTATTCCTTCAGGTGATGCATTACACTGATCTTTTCCTGTCTATTGCAAAGGTTAAAATACTATTCAGGTCCTTAAAACATATCACTTGAATGGTTAACTTGTCCCTGTTGACTCTGGTCTACACTGAGAGATGTGACTAAATTAATATACTGAACCACCATTTTTGTTAAGTCATCTAATATCTCCCAGTTACCTGCAGATAAAACTCCTAAGGGTGACATTCAAGGATATATATAAACTGTCCCCAGTCTGCCTTTTCCGAATCCCCTACCTCTACTCCTCTATGTGGACCTGGATCCAGTGTTGCCAAGTGGTCTTCCTCCACCTCCACCTGTGCATAATGTTTTTCTTGCCCGGTCATTCTTAACAAACTTGACCATTCTAAGCCCATAGCACATCCTAGTTCTTCTCTGAAAGCTGCCCCTATTAGCTCTTTCCCACTTCGGCCACCCCTTGTTAAACCAAGGGTTTGGCCACAACCACTTACTGCAGGGTATTATGAAAAGAGAACAGGTTTGAATACTGATCCCTTTACTTACTGTCTATGTGACCTTAGGTCACTTTATATTTAAGACTCAGTTTCCTTAAATATAGGTGTTTCCTCATTTCCTCATTCGACTTATCATGGATGAACTTCTTTTCTTATGATTCAATGCCTTAAGTTGTAAAATGGAGGTAATAAGAGTAACTATTATTATAGAATATAATGAGTGAGAATTTACTGTGTATTAATTAGGATGAGTTCGGTTATGTTTCAGGAAAAGTCAACCCCACAACATTTAGAACCACAACATTTTATTTCTTTCTCACCCTACGTGTCCTTCTCAGCCTGGCAGAACTCTGTTTTACACTGTTCATATTCAAGGTTCCCAGAACCTTCACTGACTGGAATAATACAGGTCACTGTGGCAGGGGGAAGGGGATGTAGTGAGTTGCGTGTTGATTCTCAAAGCTTTTGTTGGAAGTGATGCTCATCACTTCCCCTCACATTTCATTCACCAGAGCAAATCACATGGCCACTGCTAACTTCAAAGGGACAGGGAAGAATAATCTCACCAAATGCTCAGAAGATCATAGCCCAGAAACATCAGGGGATGGCACTAATGACAGCCATAACTTTCTTGTGTTATTGGACAATGCTCTTATGGTACAGTTGAAGTTTTATCTGTTCTTCTACAGCCTAGGCTCGTTAGAGCCAGACTGAGGGTGTATTCTCTGCTGTCTCTGTCCCACAGTGATCAGGATAGACCCTCAGTAATGTTTTACTGAATAGGTGATTAGAATACTACTCCAAGTGGCTTTTCCCCTGATGCTAGGGACCAACATAGGTTTCAAGTCCCAGGATTTGCTTTGTACTAAGGAAAGACTTAAGTAGAATTTACGTAACACAAAACCAAGGTGAGGTCTCGAAAGGACCTGCTATCTTTTTACTTGAGCCTGTATGGAATGTAAACTGTGAACATGGTGGCATTAAGAAAAATTCTCCTTTAAAGCTTCACCTTTCCTTTTCTTTCCAAAGGACCATAGTCAAAGGCTGGAAGTAATTTCTGATTAGTCTGAAGGAACAATATGTTACCTGGATCAGAAAGAGGTGAGTATTTCATATCAGAACTTGGGCTTGCTCAGCCTCAGGAACATACCTGAAATCAACTTGTCTAGATCTGCAGGAAGGGCTAGAAAACATCTTTGGTGTTGAGAGATGACATTTTCAGTTGAAAATCACCTGCTGGATAGTCTGAAGTTATAGTATGTAATTTTTCATTTCTTATCATGTAAGACATTCATATTTGTTATAGTAAAGTTAGTAAATATAGATGGATAAAAAAGAAAAAAAAACACCATAAAAGGGAAAATTACCCAAATGAAAAACATCTTATTTCTCATCTTGAATTAATGTCTTTTAAACAAAACACCGTATACTCTTTCATTGCTGTAGTGAATGTTTCTTACAACACTGATCAATTAACATACTGTGTTATAGTTTCTGTCACTACACTGTAAATTTACAGACAGTAAATTTACATCATAAGCTTGGCCTGATGTTTTCAAAGAAATTCCTTTTTATTAAACAAATTGTAAACAATACATAACAACTGTCTTTCTCTGACTTAGAATTACAAATCCCAGATGCAAGCATGGCTTTCTAAAAGTCACAAAAACAATCTTTAAGTAAACAAAATGAAGTGGGTCACAAGTAAGCAGTTCCATGAGTCTATGGCTTGATGTGCAACAGGGATGAGAGAGGCATTACTAAAAATCAAGATGCTCTGAAAGAAATGGGCAAGGGAACTCTTCTCTATTGTGGGGCTCTTGACAGAATGCCAAAGTTGGAGAATGAGTCACTTCTGCTGCCGTCAGAGCTGTTCCAGGAGCCTACGAAACTGAAGTCCATATTTCAGGCACTCACTACCTTTGATGCATTTGATGAGGAGCCTCAAACAGTAAGTCAGAATGCTGTCTGGCCACGGGGAGAAGAAGGTTCCAGCAGGCATGCCCTCTGATCTGACTTCATGATCCTTTTCTCCTCTTGGTCACCCTTGAATGAAAATGTCAGTGGGTAAACTGTGTGATCTCTTTGAGGGACTGACTCAATTTGGAGATAGCCCTACCCTCTCAGGGCCTCTTCCCTCCTCCTGACCGGTGAGGAGAAATTACTGGCTTCAACTCTTCAGTTGACCTTTTAAAAAGGACATGGCCATGGCTGGTTTGGGGGTATCTAGTCTCACCGAATGGACGTCACAACGTGAGACTGAATAAATCCACAAAGGAATGGTATATTAAATGAAATTAAAATGCAAACTGAGGGCCCTGGATAACATGACCACTTATATTCATTTAGTGCATTGTAAGTTGGTATTATTATTACTGTATTACTATCTCCATTTTATAGACAAGGAAACTGAGGCAAGCAGAGGTTGAGTCTTGCCCCAAATCACTTGAAAATGTTGCTTAGGTTTCCTTGTAGCTCAATATTACATGCTGAATGATTTATAATTTCTTTCCTATAAATCCATGCAATACCATTTATTGCTTTCTCTCTTCCAGCCTTTCTCTCCTTCAAGCCCACTGTTTTCACCTGTAAACTTTACTTGGTTTACCCATAGTACTCTGAATATGCTGTGGGTGTTAGCATCTGGACCCCTTTGGTTTTGCTTTCTCCTTTCTCAGTCTCTCTTCTATTTGCTTAAATTCTATCTGTTTCCTGAGGATAGTCTGAGTTCTTGCTCCTCTGTGAAGCATTCCTTAGGCTGTTTAGCCCACGGAGATCTCTGTTATCTGAAAAGCTCCCTTGGCATTTGTTACTTGTGGTACTTCTTTAGTGCTTACTGAGTCCCTAGTAGTGGTGGTTATCTTTGGATAAGTGTATGTGTTAAACCCCAATCGAGACTGTGAGTTCCTTCAGGGCAGAACAGCCTTGCATATAGCAAGCTTCAGTGAATACTGGTATATCATCTCATCCTTTATTATACTTTTCTTCCTGTGGAAATATACGTAGCAATACTATATATTTTGTGACCTCTAAACAGAATGGCCATATGATTAACATCATTTTTCATGCTGGCATAGTCCACACAGGAAGTAATCAGAGGAGATGCTAAATTGAGAACTTGAAGCTTGGGAAATATTTATTGTAGCTTAGTTTTTATTTAGTATTTCTTTAATAACTGAAAAGGATTTATAGCTTTAATGACAAATACCAAACTTTGTGACTCCTGTGTGCTTTATTTTGTGACATGTGCTTAAGCATCAGTAAATTGAAATCACAGACCTGAAACCCAAGCAAGATACACTGTTCTATTTCCTTGAAGACAGACTTCTCCCCTGGAGTTGAGCTCCTATTGAATGCTAATACTATGTCCATTTCATCAAAGCCTTCTTCAATCCTTTTTTAGAGTCAAAATAAAGATCTGGATAACACCCAACTATCTGCAACTTAATCCTGTTGATTTCAAAACCCTTAGCACAAAAGGCAAATAAGGCTGAGCAACTTTAAGGCACATGCATTCTGCATATGTTTTCTCCAAAGATACAGGGTACTAGGTCTTAAAGGACTTAAGCCTGAAGTTTGTAACTTTGATAATAAAGGATTTTTTGTGTTTCAACAGCATCAGATGTTTAAAGATTAATCTATCTCTAAATCCATCTGCAGGAGACCCAGATGTGGGATATAGAGATGATTTGACCAACTTTATGGGGAAAGACTGGAATTTTGCCTTAAATGGTACTCTTCAGAGACAAGAATCCTGAGTTTGGCAACATACATTAATAAAAAATAAGTGAATAATTTCTAAATCTCCATTTCCCTTTGGTCTGTGAAGACAGTTTTAATATTAGATAATTGCCAAGCAGACACACGATTAAAAGATGCTGTGAGGATTTGAATTAACTGATGCAGGGAAGTAAGAGGTAGGAACAGAGCCAGAAGAGACGGGACAGATATGACATTTTTCTGAAGAACACATAGTTAATTTTTTTTTTTTTTGGCTTTCTTTCTTCAAACATACCAGTTCACAGGATGATCATAATCACAACAGTTTACATTTACATAATGCTTTACCACTTGCTTTCACAGATTTTATTCCCACTTGATCAGAGGGTGCCTGCTTTGTGCAGAGGACCTAATCTTGAAATAAATCATTTACTATATGAGGATTTAAACAAGTCTTTTGGATGAAAAGTGCATTACATATTTATGAGCACTGATTTCAAGAATCACTTTGAAAGAACTATTGATGTTGCTCTATATTAGCGATCTGAACTTAATCCCATTTGATTCATCCTTGGTTTTATTTTCCGGAGGTTTCAAACCATGTTTGTAAATCCTTGAGGGCCCATTTCCTCTTCTAAGAAGGAAAACATTTAGGTGCAAGTCAGGAACTTACGAACCTTCTGTCACTATTCTCAGTATATTGGGGAAACCAGTTTTCTGAAATTAAAATGGCAGTCTATTTTTGTGAGGCAATAATAATGATGATGGTAATGATGATAATAAAATGTAGGGGTTCTCATTCAGTGCAGCAGGAGAGAGGAGATTATAGTCTATTAAAACAAAGTCCTTTGATGTCTGCTGTGAGGAGGGATCCCAGAAATGTTATTATTCACTTTTAAAATGTATTATTTCTTGAGTGCCCCTGATTTATTTTTTTATTTAGAGGTTGTTTATAAAGGTTATTGCCATTAAACCAGTTGCTTCCTGTGTAATCAGATCCCGAACATACTAGGAGAAGACAAAAAGATAACTGCTTGTAAGTGAAATTATTTTTTGAGCTCCTGGGAAGAGAAAGAAAAAGTAGAATAAACATTGTTTACCGATTGCCACAGTTCAACTCCCAGCAAAGATTTTGCTTTTTTAAATAAAAAATGAAATTAAGAGGGAAAAGCCTTTTTCCCCCCGCTTTAGAAAAACAAAAGGGGGAAAAAAACCCCAAAGCAGGGGCAGCTTTGCAGGGCCACTGGTGCCTGAGTAGAATTGCTAACTGGTTCCTCTCTCTTTTGCTGGGCTGTCTGTATTCACTGTATCACAAGCTTGAAGCCAGACCTCATTTGACTGAGCCAAAAAATGGTCCTTTTGTTGCTGTTTTTTTCCCTAGTGTCATCTCTCATGGTTGCCTGGGCAACCAGTGTGTATCCTTTCAGCATAGGTTACTGGGCCCCAGGAAGGAAGTGCTCCAGCGCTGGCCTGCTATTTTTATAGAACCGTTACATAATACAATCTATTAAAGCTTCCTCTTGGTGTTTTATTGCACAAAGGGGAAATTAAGTTTGATGACTCCTAAATGTTGGATGGAGGATGTCAGGTGACTCGGATTGTTTGGCTCAGGCCACATAGCAACAATATTCCTATATGCAATTCAAGGAGAGCCGATATACAATCATGCCCTTGGCAGTGCTCCCCTGCCTGCAGATCACTGGAGGAAACTGAGCTCTCAGCTGCTCAAGGGTGCAAGTTTTGTCCAACTGCACAAAGCTCCCTCTCTGGTAGGATGACAGCGGACAATGGAACACTATTCAGTTAAGGGCAAAGGGAACTTTAAAGGTGTAGCACATATGCTTTTAATAGGTGGGATGATTGCTGGAAAAGAGAATTGGATTGAAAGGAAGAGAACCCGGATTCTCTTCCCAGGACTTCCATTGAAGCATTACACAACTGCTGTGTACTCTGTGGTCCTACCAAGTCAGCTTTGCCTCTGGGTAATTCTGCAGTGGCCCAGGAAGGGGAGTGTCAGGGGAGGGAGGGCATAATGGCTAAATGGCTTTTTGGTGGAGACCACTAGAGGCCATAGTGTCTTTCTGCATTTGCAGCATGCCTTCAGGGATGCTCCACTTGCCACGGGAACAAATAAGAAATGCAAGTTCTTAGCATCTTCTATTCCCACCTTGCTTACCAGTTACAATTTACTACCAGTCTGAATGAAAGAAGGTGCAAAATGCACAATGGGATCAGAAGCTCTGTCCTGGAACAGAAATGAATCCCTTTATCCTCAGGGGAGATTTATGGCCACAAGTGACCTGAGGTTGAGGTTCCCTAGACTAGAGAGTATTTGAGACGGCCACTCCTTCCTGTCTCTTCATAGTCTCCCTCCTCTGCTATTTTGTTGACTCCCATCGCTTCAACTAAACCTTGAGGTTCTCCGACTCTGAAATCTGCATCTCCAGCCTGCTTTTCTTTTTTTATTTAAAAAAAAAAATTTTTTTTTACATTTTTAATTTATTTTTGAGAAACAGAGTGAGACAAAGCGTGAGCAGGGGAGGGGCAGAGAGAGAAGGAGATACAGAATCTGAAGCAGGCTCCAGGCTCTGAGCAAGCAGTCAGCACAGAGCCCAACGCAGGGCTTGAACCCATAAACTGTGAGATCATGACCTGAGCCGAAGTCGGACGCTCAACCGACCGAGCCACCCAGGCACCCCTCCAGCCTGCCTTTCTTTCTTTCTTTTTTTTTTTTTTTTAATGTTTATTTATTTATTTTTGAGACAGAGAGAGACACAGCATGAACGGGGGAGGGGCAGAGAGAGAGGGAAACACAGAATCGGAAGCAGGCTCCAGGCTCTGAGCCATCGGCCCAGAGCCCACGCGAGGCTCGAACTTGTGGACCGCGAGATCGTGACCTGAGCCGAAGTCAGACGCTTAACCCACTGAGCCACCCAGGCGCCTCTCAGCCTGCCTTTCTTAGAGGCTCCACTGTCCTGTATTTCCAGTGCCTGCCGGAGATCTTTCTCTGGTTGTCTCACTTTATCTTCAGCTCAACATATCCAACAGGAAACACAATTCTTTTGTTTCCCCAACCCATGACCCTTGCTGACTCCCTGGTTTCCATGAATAGCTAAATTCAGAGAATGCTAAATGTTGCTGATCATCTGGTCCAGTCTTTTCCATTTTGTAGATGAAGAAGATGAGGCTGAAGAGGTTAAGTGGTTTGTTCAAGGTCACCCAAACTGTTAG